CTTTCGCCAGACCACCGGGACTGATACAGCTGCCCAGGTAAACAGATTTGTCTACTACCTCAATCGGTTCATCCGCAAGCATGAGGCTAGGTTTCGAGCCCACCCAGTCTTGTAGCAGCACCTTACACTTTGCAGGTGTGGCATGCATGCCGAACTGCGAGGCAGAATTATTGCTGAGGTCAATGTGGGAGCGATGGGTAGCAACGCGTAAGTCACAGAACTGTTGATCAAATGACGCGAGGCAGAATTATTGCTGAGGTCAATGTGGGAGCGATGGGTAGCAACGCGTAAGTCACAGAACTGTTAGATGATCAAATGAGATTGTTGAAGCTTGTTAAAACTCGAGTTGACTGCCCTAAACTACAGAGGAGTGTAGCGACCATCTAGCTGGACAGTATAACAGACACAGAATCAGTGAAACCATTCGAAAAACGGACGCATTCATTCTTACAAAAGGGTCAGTAAAGTGGAACAATCCCCCCCCATATGAACGACGATGAAACGTTCTCAGTTATCTCTCATTCCTTCAGTGTAAAAAAACGCTCAGTTGTAACACCCTTTCGGTGCCGAACTGCCACGCTAGCCGAAGGAAGCACAAGGGCTGGGATACTGCCAGGTTGCCCAGGTCTAGACAGGGGAAATCGAGAGGTAGAGGTCGGGTTCGAGCCACGGAACTTCCGGTAAGTGAATTCGTGCCCTAACCACTTGAGCCATCTGGTCCCCAGTGTAACAGACTTTCGGTGCCTAGCTGCCATGCAACCGGAATAAAGTACGAGGACTGATATAATTTCAGGTGGCCCAAATCTAGACAGGAGCAGTCGAGATGTCTGGGTTGGGTTCGAACCACAGACGTTCAAGCCAATAACTGTGCACCCTAATCATCGGACCATATCGAGCTCTCCCTTTATTGTACAGCCGAGTGGAACTACAGTTTACGAGACACTACCTGAGATTAGCAAGTAATGAAACTTACACTTGGAGGTTATTGTAAGGTTGATGCACAGCCGGAGAATAAAAGAACCAATAAACTGTATGCGAGACTGAGGGATGTTTTCCACCTCTCCCGTGAGAGAATCCGCACAGGATGTAGCCACACTCGGTGGTTCTGGAAATGCACGTCTGCGATTCCACCACCCGATGACACAGGAGCAAATAAAAGCCAGATAGAACTCGACGCAAGATCCAAAAGCTTCAACGATAAACCCGAAGAGCGGTGAGACTTGGAGATCCGATTGGATAGGAGCACTCACAGGAGGTAATTCTGGCGACGGAGTTTGGCGAAGAGTTAGTGCCAGTTGGTGCCGTGCAGCATGCTGAACTGTAGGTCTGAGGGACCACCAGATTTCAGCCAACTGTAGGGCCGCGTGGGCTCCGAGCAACTGAAGTATCCAAGTGATGGCCACCCAGGTGAAATCGGATTGACCAACAAGAAACCTCAAAACAGACCGGTGGAAAAACAGTTGTCATGTTGAGTATAAAAAATGACGCTATGCAATAAGAATCACCATTTACAGCTGAGATGCAGCAATTGCGCAAAACAGAACATCATAGGGAAACGGGGCAGTCTGTCTTGGTCGATTGAAAGTGGACTCAGTGCTATGGATCGCGCAAGAAGCAGTGGCTAACTCGCAAAAACTTCTGTAGACTCTCCACGAAAATGGGTTTTATCAGGATACTTTTTCTTGGGAGGTTGTGATACACTGTCGCAACAAACACTATTGAACACAAAGAGAAAAACGCCAGTGTACACAAGTGAATACGTTGTCTCAATTCGTGGTGAAAGTTCCAGGCAGTCAGACAACGCCTACAAAAACATCACCTTAAATGGACACCATTGGAACTGTGCCGGGCAGCTGGATATAAAAGAAGTCCAGAACAAATGTACATAAGAAGACTTCCAGATGAATCAGCGAAACGGATAACACTCACAGCGTGAAACAAACTAGCAATCAGGGGATGAGGAACGAGACTAGATTGGAATACCAATGAAGGATCATCACTTGGCAGGCAATGAACGAAGCAGGTAACCAGCAACATCACTTTTTAACATCATTTACAAAAGATGTGCAGCCTGAATGTGTCAATTAGGATGAGTAGCTAAGAATCGGTTCCTTTTGGAGGATGAGTTTATCCTGATAAATTGCCGGTCATCTTTCATCGATTTACTCCCCTAGTCCATGGCATCACTTCCAGTGAGTAGTAAACAAACCTCAAGAAACCTGTGGTTGTAGTATCCCTGACCTACACTACCCACGTGTACTTTGCATGACCAAAAATTTAAACGGACAAGTAATGTGCAGGTGAACAATATCTATCCTGAGTTACAATATGTGGGAATGAAACGGTATGATTGTTATGTTCCGTTGCTCGGGGTTTTACACTCACAGTAGGCGTGTGCTGACCCATTTACAGTTTTTCAGCATGCAAGGCCGCTAACTTATTCAGTTTTATGAAGGTCAAATGAACATGTAACGAGGAAATTAGTGCACTTGAGCTTATGCACAATTATTTGGTTGATCGATGGTAGAGAGCAGAAGTTAACTGACGCAAACGGATAATAACTAAAGCCGGTGAGTGTTTAACAGAGCCTTTAACATCAAATGTGAATGTTTGAGGCCGTAAAAATTGAACTTCACTAAAAAACCTGGTTGTCCGTAATTATCCTAGATGAAGACAATGGTACGGAAGACGGATAGCATGTTTAAATGCGGATGTGACAACCGCCTACAGTGCACAACATAATTCTCAAAACAACGACCTTGACTTAGTTATGGTCTGATAGCAACAAGAAGTAAACTTGATGCGTGCACGCAGATGCCTGAGATCCACAGAATCTATACACTGGAAAAAAGTAAATAGGGTGTTATGATGTGATTTTGGACGGATAGTCAGCAGTCTTTCCTCCCCCTAAATCGTCCTTATTAAAAGGCTAATGCGGGGACACATTCTGAGAGAACTTCTATCGGGAGTTATTTTCACGGCAGATAAGCCTCTTTAGGGTGCACTGATGATGTTTCCTCGATTGGCCAACTGTCAATCCCGGCGAAGAGATTGATAGCCACCCGATCAACTAACAAGGCATGCACTCGGGTTGCTAATATTCCAATACACTGCTAAACGAAGCTGGAAGGTGCGAGTGAAGCTCAGGCCTGCATGCAAACTGGGATATGTAAGAAATACTTATCCGTCCACTAGGTTAGCTAAGTTAAGTTTGTGCAGGACAATCTTTTTCCACGAGTATGCAGTCGGATAGTTGGGGAATGGGTAAATTCGCTGTTACACGAGCTGTTAGTGGAGGAGTTGCAATGCAGTACGTAAGGTTCACTAATTATATCGGACAATAAATAATATGAGGCAGAAATATACTCATCAACGGAGATTAGAGTGGCACAAAAAAGCAACTGGGTTTTCACCCACCACCCATCCACTCATTCCCTCACCTGTACCAGGGATTTGTTGGATTGCCGTAGGCATCCATGCAGGTGAATGTGGCACCTCGAATGGTGTTCATTCCGATAGCAGCCAATAGACCATGGTGGCCGGCGACAGCGCGGATAGGCCAGCATTCTAAACTGCAAGCACACAATTCCATGGTGGCAAGTGCATCGAACAGAGCTAAGACCATTGGAGGGCTGAAACGAAAACGGCCAGAAATGCTCGAAAGAAACGATGGCGACTCCAGGGCAGTTGATCCAGAAACCCTACTGTCTGAAGAAGTCTGGCATGTGGTATCTCGTGTCCTGTCATTATCTGACGTTCGCGTTGGAGCACTAAGCTAAAGATGGAATGTGGAACAACAATCCATGAACAAAAGCAAGAGGATATGTTGTGTTGGAAAACGAAATCGAGGCAAAATCATCAATAGGCGTGACTAAGATGACAATGAGTTCGCAAGTAACAGCTGACAAGGAACTTTTCACTGGAATCCGAAAAAATCATTAGACGGACGCCATTGCTGCAGATCATCTGAAACTAAACTGCTCAAGTGGACAGACTGGTTTTACTGAACTATTCTAGACACTGGCAATTATGTGGGCGCCCCACCAAGAGTTCTGTTAACGCGGTCTTCAAACTGACGGTAGAACCTGCATACTGCCGCGAGGTTTGAGGGTACCATTAGCGCACAGACAGTGGTGACAGTCGCAAACCAGTCACATGTCATCACCAGCCCTAAAGAAACCTACATATTCGACTCCACTACGTGTTGTCTCAGCAAAACTAACCTCGTGTCAAGTAGGATACAATAATGATACGTCAGGGGATTCGATCGCGCAACGGTATACAGTAAAGTATGTGACCCAAGTTAGAAAGACGGAAGTCGAGGAGACGGGAATACAGTCTGAACGACACGTAGGAAAACAAGCAATGAAGGCGCAACCTCCCGGGTGTCAGAGCGAGATGTCGTGAGTTGCCAAATGCACGGTCAGGGAAATCAGTTCCAATGGTATCTGAAGGGAACTTCAGTGAGACTTCCGGTTTACCTTATCTACAGAGGATTAAAAGAGACTGAACAGCATGTTTGGTGCCGCGGGAATCATCCCAAAGACTGTTGCTGTATCTTACTAAATCCAACCAGCCATGAATTTTATCTGGAATCCCCAGACACTGGCATACAGTGACCAACTTTGAACATATCTGTCAAAGAGGCAGTTGGATCCAAGGGTTCTTGACCTTGCTGCCGTCGGATAAAGGCGGCACCAGTACTGGTACACCGTGGGAAAAGCATATGCCCACAAGCAGCAATTACTGAATCCCACTATTCTCAGCTCCTGGCATGAAGATCAGAGCTGTTGGACAGTTTTTTACTAGTCAATCGGAATGACTTAGTTACATTGTGGACTCGCAGTGGATCAGGAAATTGTTCCAATGGGCCGTAGTGAGCTTACTACATCGTCATCTAGAAAGATACTCAAGTTGGGTATCCAGGTAACGGAATAAGCTCTAAAGTAGTAATGGTGAGGTTGATAACCTTTTTAGTGTCAGCAAGGCCACTTTTACGCCGGATACAAATTTAGCAAAGGGCTTCGACCAATTGAGGCAGCACCATGATCAAGCATACGTCAATCTAGCTGTGCGAGTGGAAACTTTTCCCCGGAATGGTGTCTTCCGGTTTTCCATTGCCACGGAAGACAGTTTCTACCGAGAATGTGGATTTATCCATAAACACAAGAAAGCTCACGAGGTGCAGAGGACACAAACCTTGCCAGAAATCTGAGTCACTTTCAGTTCGTAAAACTCAATGCCGAAATGCTGGCTAAAACCCAGCAGCATCCCACAAGTATATAATATGCGGAAACAATCTGCATTGAGATCTATCAGAACCACATAGTCTGTCGAAAGGTTGTGAATGAAGATATGGAATTTAGCGACTATGTCCGGTGATTCCACCGTTACCGTTGGTAACGTCCTTAATTAACCCCTCAAGGATACCCGGCGACCGCGCTACCCCCGCTAAGAACTCCCAACATCAAAAATGACATCTTCCACCCTTTAAATTATCCAAAGGGAACTAGAAGCTACCTAGGATGTTAGATGATCTCATGGTTATATGCGTCATAGGGATTGCCTTTGAAAACACGTCCAGAGGAAGAACCAGAGAATTGGTTGGAGGTCTGTCAACCGACGAACCTGAAATTTTTCCCTGAGATAAACCAGATCAAGACAAAACTTTTCCCATCTAGATGCTGTAAATAACGTCTCCTTAGAGTCGATTGCCGACCACCAGCTTATGTGAAGCCGACACTGGTACCGTCTCACCTGCTACAAAAAACAACCTCTCCGATTCCTGACTTGCCTGGCGACACAAAGTAAACGGAAAACGCGAAACGCAATGGGTTATCTCCAACGCATCCAAGCCTACATTTCGAACACACCCACAAAACCGTTGTTCCAGGTAGTGTCGCATCTGTTGCAGGAGAAGCGCAACCTGTTGTTTACAAAGGCGTAGCATCGCCGGTTTTCGGGTCAGCTATTTATTCCCTCTGACCACAGCCTTATATACGACAGCCTGGTCTTGAACTAACAACGTCGGCACTTGGCTTCAAAGAGACTGCCAGTCCACATTTACACCAATACCGGTGTCTACAGTAAGTTGACGGAACTGCACGACAGAACACAACTAGCTCAGGGCTCGAAATGGCCCAGTGGTTAATACGCAAGCTTATTGACTGGAAATTCCGAGGTTCGAATTCAACCCAGACATCTCGACTACTCCAATCTAGGCTTGGACAAGCTGGTAGCACCTCAGCCATCGTTCTCTAGTAAGGTGCTATTGCAGTTAGGTACCAAACGGCTATTACAGCTGGACGATTATTAATATTAATGCTGATAACGAGCTAGTTGACGGCTGAGAAGTGAGCATGCCTACATTCCGACGGAGTTGACTGAAACCAAACCGACCAAGTACAGGGCGAGTGTTGCCGTTCCACCGGACCGCCAAGGTATTCTGCCTTGATGCCCCGCTGAACAGAAATGATGGTTCTTTGTGGCGTGGCGTGATGCAAACGTTGGAGGATATACGGCAATCACAGTCAGGTTCACAGGGATACCTCTCGATCAAAATCATACGATGTCCGACCGACTGAAAGCCACGTGAAAACGATTGGGAGGGCGGACTCCAAACGAGATCTATGCAAAACAAGCGCACAGTTAGTAAAATCGTAAAATCCACGGACCGCCAAGGTATTCTGCCTTGATGCCCCGCTGAACAGAAATGATGGTTCTTTGTGGCGTGGCGTGATGCAAACGTTGGAGGATATACGGCAATCACAGTCAGGTTCACAGGGATACCTCTCGATCAAAATCATACGATGTCCGACCGACTGAAAGCCACGTGAAAACGATTGGGAGGGCGGACTCCAAACGAGATCTATGCAAAACAAGCGCACAGTTAGTAAAATCCATAGTAAAATCCACAGTAAAATCCATTAGTATCGGTTGAGAGGGAGCCGACTTGTACTCCACTTGATGCAAATTCACAGGTAAACTTCTGATCGAAACCCATTCAGGGAAAAAGGCCAAGGGATAATTTGCCACGGTCCACAAAACGCATTTATATGTACTCATTCGAATATCCATGCGGGGAACCACAAACTGACCACAGAGAGAGCACCAGAAGTAACGGTCTTTTAGAACACAGTGTACAACCACAACGTTCGCCTCACATCCAGACATTAAGTTCAAAACTCCAGGCGATGAGATTTTCTTGACTGCTATCGTCCTTCCAACCTAATTACTACCTTCCAACTTACCTGAGAAAATCGCCCTTTCGGAACAACAGTACCGCAATTCTTCATAGGTGAAACTGTAAAATTTGTGAGTGAACGATGAAGACCAAAACAATCTTACAGTACGAGCGTAAACTGCATGACCAATTTTTGGAGATAAATATATCTATGTTTATACCCTAGGTTGTTTTTCTCCTCAAATGCCACTAGATCTTCACATGAAACCGCTAGTGGTTAAATTAACTGAGTCACATAAATCCATCAACAGAATAAGCAAGCAAATGAACTTCAGGAAAGTGCAACAAGCTAGGTGGTGAACTGGCCTTCGCGGCGGTAAATTATGTCGCGGTGGCCAAGAGAAAAATGTCTTGTCCGTGATGTACAGCGACATCATTCCTCATGAAGTGACATACAGGTCCCCGTAACAATCGTTGCAATATGACTCAAGAAAACGCTAAACGATAGTGACTAAGCCCTGTACACATACGCATCAATTCGGATCTCACCAGTCATTTATTTTGGGGGGACAATTTTTGCAGATCGCAACAAAACTTTGTCGGAATCATCCTCGTTACGGGTGGTCTCGATACACAGGGTCCCTACTCGAAAAATTAGACGTTTACTGGCTATTTCCCTCAGTGAAACAAACTGTCACTGCTGCAAGAGGATAAATTATTGAAAAGGTGCAGCGCGGTAGATGCTGTCCCTTGTTAACCGGTTCACATCCCCGAAACTTTGTCAGTTGGACGACAAGAACAGTTTTCTATCCATCCAAATCACCACTATTATCATGGTCATCGGGGAGAACAGCATCAGCGTTGACAGTGATGCTTCACAATGCCCTTGGCGTGGAATTGTTTTCATGATTATTCGCGCACCTCCAGACGTGATTGCAGCAACGGGAGTTCATACATAGGAATGGAGTACGGAGAGTCAACGCCTGATCATTTTACTAGTAACATGTTACCGATGGCGAACAGGTACAACGAACTCTATTTCCGACGCAGTCTGTTTGAGAGATTAAATCATAGTGACAAGGCCAAATGAGCTTAAATGGGTGGAAATATCTATCTGAAAAAAGAACTCACGAAAAGCACAAGTCGCCGGCCGACAAAAGCGAGAATAGTTACGGCAGTCCAGAAGAGTGCCACGAAAAAAGCGGTGTGTAGTAACTCTCCATAAATATCTCGAATGGACTCAAAGAATACACGCATACTTCAACGAGCATGAGGGCAGCATTTCTGAAAATAGCGCAAACACAGTTAACAAGGTGATGCCGTGACTATGATCCACAAGGTCAGTTCAGGTTTTGGGCTTTCACGCATTCACGGATTGATACACAGGATCGAGGCGTTTACCCAAGTCTCCCGGATCGGTTTTGTTCTTGTCGGTCAGTGGCTGTCGTTCACCTGAAAGGCACAAGTGAAAAAAAGGTGTAGCACTGCTATTTATGTTCTTAGCGCGGGGCAGTATGGTTGCCAGCGCGAGGATTCGCATAAATAAATGTCTTATAATGCTTTAAACTGGGTTCTAGAAGGAGCGTGGACAGCCGTCAGAGGAAGGTCATTCCACGTAGCTACTACCCGAAATGGGAAAAAAATTTATCCCCGTCGTGTGTTTGCTGGGCTAACGGTGAAAAACCTGTTTGCCAAGCTTTGTTCAAACAGGGCATAAGTAAGAATTGGGTCACCTCGGAGGCGACGGCACTCCAGGGGAAAGAGATCAAGCATCGCGAGACGCGTTTCATAGTCCGCGGATTTAAGGCTGGCAACCATTCTCGTAGCGGCCCGCTGGACACGCTCAATGAGGGTGACGTCTTTCGTGTGTCCTGAATAGACAACTTGGTTGGCGTATTCCAGGAGCGGTCTGACGTAGGCCCCATAGAGTATTTGGAAGTCCATGCGAGTAATACAGGAGAAAGTGAGCCGGATCATCTATAAAATGGCGAGTGCCTTTTGGGTCGATTTCTCATGGTGCGCTGAGAAGGACAAGTTTGAGGAGACCCAGATGCCCAAATCCTTTTTGGCATCTATCCTCAGGAGGTTTTCTGGCCGCTTTTCACCATGCATAAAAAAGGCATTCGCTAAATCCCCTCCAAATGACACATGGACGCACTTTTCATCGTTCAGAGGAGGGTACCAGTCCATCGACCACTTTGATGAACTTCAATGGAGACGGGTGCTGGAGAAGAGTAGGTCGAACCTATTCTCACTCGGGATGATCTGTCTGATAGGAACGCCTTGATCCAGCGAAGGATTTTCCCTTGAATCCAGTAAGACTCGGGTTTGTGGAGCAGCGGGCAGTGTGGGACCCTATCAAATGCTTTTGAGAAGTCGAAAAATATGGCATCCGATATGAGTCCTTCGTCCTTGGCTTGGGTAAAGCTGTCCATAAAGACGAGCTTGGAAATCGGCTCTGCGGATTTCCCGAATATAAGGAAACAGGCACTCGGGTGTATGCTCTCCCGAATTCTAATCACGTCTACGAGAATTTCGATACTATGAAGGAGGCTTCCGAAATTGGTTTCATCTTCCGACCATACACAGTAAATTCCGAACCGTTCGCTATCTGTAGTGGCTGTGAATTGGTTCATGTTTTTTAAACACAAGTATAAATTATAGATCAGAAATTTTCTCTCTAGCTGAATTTCCTCCACTCTGTATGCTGCATACTGGGAACTGTGAGCCAGATTATGAAAAATTGCCCTTCACGACCCACATAAGGTGTGGACGAAAAAGGAGACCATCAAGTGAAGCATAGAAGCCAGCGTCATGCTCGCCTGGCTGAGTGCAGTTTCAGATGTACAGGTCTAACGGGTGATCACATAGACGGACTGTCTTTCTCTTCTTGCCCCTTTATCTGCTATAGCTGGGTCTACTTTGGGGGTATTATGGCATTTCGAGGTAACGGGGAACCTACAAAAAAGATCCGCACTTCCAAGTAAAAATTTTGCGAATGCTCCAGTCTGATCGGGAAACGCGATGCCACAGCAGTAATTATTTTGGAGGTTTTTATGTTGTGGACATAACGAAGGTAGCGGTTTCAGCGACAACATACGTTGAAATTTCCTCTTAGGACGGGCAACTTGGGAAGTCCCTCCCGAGTAAGTTAACCGCCAAGAAGGTAGTCCATATCTCTGTCTGTGCAGTCACGAAAGCAACAGCGTGACGAGCAGACAGGCAAAAAAGGCGGTCCGGTGTGATTATCCAGGGCTGGTTTCCTCAAATGAACATAGTAACACAATAAGAGAAACCGCTACTTGGTCTTCTCCTCCCATGCACTTTTGCACTGTTAAAAGCACCACGACAGAATTTTGTGGTGGTCTGGCTAGCCAATAAGTTACTTTACCAGGAGTGTGTGGCAAACAAATAGGAATAATAACGCTAAGTTGGGTATGCAATGATAAAGAGGTCAGATGGATCAGACTCACTAACAGTTGTTCCCTTTAAAATAGTTCGTCGTTGGCTCAGGTCAAGGAATAAGCACTAATCCAATTATGGTGGTCCGGGGATCTTCTTCTGAACAGTTCTCACATGTAATAGATTCCGAAGATGATCTGAAATATTTTGATACCAGGGTATGCATATGAGGCTCGCGAATGACCGCTGCAAGCGCGAGTGAAATCACAATAGAGAGTCGAAGCACGTGACCACGCTCGTATCGTGTGAAGTTGTATAGGTGCGCGCTTTTGTAGTTTTTCGTATTCAAACAAAAAAACGATTGCGCAATTGATGAAATACGTAGTGTTAAGATGAACTCAAAGTAAAGGTACAAAATACCACAATTCACCCCAGATTGGAGTCAGTCTAATGGCGTCAGACCTACTGCTAATCAAAGAACGAAATAAATCTCACGAGCAGGAAACTATTCACTTATACGCAATTGATGATGGTGAGGAAATCTTATAATTTCTAATGAAGATTTTGCACTGTCTTTGAAGCTCTTCCGTGCTGAAAGGCCCCCAAATCGTTCAACCAGGAATCAGGTGGTCACGTATTGACTGGTTTCTCAAGTGAGGTTTTCTCAGAAGAATAATTGATTCATCCTGTTATACTGTTCTTCATCTGAGCATTTTGTTGATTGCTGGTGACCTGCAGAAATCGGCTACTGTTCAAAATAGACCTCATCATGTCTGCGCTGTCAGTCCATTCTGGAATCCGAAAAGCACTGTGCAGCAGGTTTTATCTTTGTTAGGAATAGTCGGAAGTGCGCATCTCACAAAACTCTACTTCTTTCTGAGGCATTCACTCGACAGGGTAATCAATACACGACCACCCGGATGTGATTTCTGTGATGGAACTACGATTGGCGACGTTAACTGTCCAAGTGAGATGTAGTGGCATCACCAATCCGGCATTCGCGCCCGAAGGGTTGTGGGTTCAATAAACTGAGATTCGTGGTTTGAGCACTGCTGATGATTTACTACACAGATGGAGGAGCTGGTAAGGGTACTACTGATGTGTTTTAACAACGTCAATGTTTGCTTCAGTCACAGGGAAAACTCTCTGCTGAATGTGTGAAGTTGTATTCATTTTTCTATTTGGCGGACGGAAGTGCACAGCAGCAGGATCCGCGCCTAAGTCAAAAGCTTAAGGTTGACTTTGGTCAGTCGCGCATGTATTTGCGATATGATTCTCTGATGGATGGATCACAATCATTTCCCCTTATATTAGAGATCGCTGCGAAATCCCATAAACGCAAACAGCCCGGAAGCTTGTGCTTCCGATGACAGTCGTGGAGAAGACGACAATGGGCGATCTTGTGCCTGAAATGTACAGCTACCGTCAGGTTCAGCTCCTTAAATGCACTCAGCCTGTTTGAGGACAGAATCGCTATTGTACACACTAAATGTCGGGGCCACCGTTCCAGCAGTATGGTGTATGAAATTTTCACGTCCATCATGCTGGCTACGCTGTTAGCGCTACAGCTGTAAATCAATGTAACCAAAAAAGAGATCGGCCAAATAAGCCAAACAACGCTTGCAATGTTTGGGGGCTGTTCGCCGAAAGCAGGGTTAACTTGCTCAAAATATTCTCCTAGGGTGACACCTAAGTCATGGCCCCTTCTGATTTGAGGCGATAAGCAAGTGGCCCACCAAAGTCTCACAGGGATACCTTGATAAAAAAATTCGGGCACAAAATTCCAAAGCGACGAATGGGAGCAACGTGACCAAGGTTTTCTGAACATTGACAAACCTGAGTGCCCGAAAGATGCAAGTACTAGCTGTCGAAAGCTTTTTCCGCAGGAGTGTGAACTTCTTCCCCAAAAACAAGAGGTGGTCGCGTGCCGAACCAGATGTGGACAAAACATACTTTGCGGAAGCACAACAAGCCTCGATGACATCAAAACTGATCATTGTGGTCGGGATGTCCTTTAAAGCTTTTTATATTTATACCTTATTTATTTATATACCGTTTATGGCATTATAATGCGGAAACAAAGTCTGCCCCGTGGAATGAAGGTTCAACGAGAGGCAGTTGGGAAGGTGTTTAAGCTAAAGCCGTCCCCCATATTTTGAATGTTGAGTTTCGGCTACAGTAGCGACCTAGATCTGTGTTCGGATGTCCTTTGCGTAGCCGACTCCTGCAGACGTTCCAGATGGCAATTCATCGATTGTGTTACAGTGATTCAAGAGAAGGCGCTGTATTCAATGATTAATAGTACATGTGTGGCACGACCCGCGGTGGCATAGGGGGGTCCCATAAGGAAACATCTTAAGATCTAATCCATGTGGACATTTCTAATGACGTAATGCGTTGTGTGCTTCATGCCTGCATGGTCAACGCAAATTGCGAATGACCGCGCGAGCGAAATCAGAATATAGAGTCGAAGCAGGTGACCACGCCTGTATTGTGTGAAATTGTACAAGTCCGCGTTTTTGGGGTTTTGCGTATTCAAACAAAAAGCGATTACGCAATTGACAAAGTGCGTAGTGTTATGATGGAAGCAAAATAAAGGTACAAAACGCTTTTCATCCTCCATGGCATTTTGAATAGCGTTACAGGAACACAAGGGATATAACTGTGGTATTTGTGCGTTTACCCAGTAGTAAATAACCAATGCTGTCTTGCTTTACGAGTGAGCGTACCGCAAATGTGGTGGGTGGCCAGAAAAACCATCGGAATCCGAAGAACCTAGTGAGCTGAGCGCCATTGGAATCGACAAAAGCAGGCGAAAAAGCGGCTGTTCAGCGCGTTTCTGTCAAGCAAGGCAGGAGATCCATCTCTCAGTCACTTCGTATTATCATATTCACAGCGATGAGTTTTTAAA